AATTTAACAGTTCCCATGCAATTTGGCACCTTTATGAAAAAACGCTTTAGCAAAGATGATATATCTAATCCTAAAGACTTCGAGTAGGTTCCATTCATATCGATAGCAGTAAAATGGCTGCATCGTTACTTACAAGCTTTTTGATTGACAGGCATTTAATACACACTGAGAGCGAAGAGCAAGCACAGGAAGCGTTAAAGTACTGGAATAATAATCTAACTGAGAAAGAGACGCCAGGTAAGTAATAAAGTCTTTTGACATTTGCATTACATCTCCCTAATCATTCTAAAATACCATCGCAGGAGGAATTCTTGGTAATGATGGAAATTTGTTGTTTGGAGGGAACCCCTACAGCACTGTTATTATCAAAAACCAAGAACCTGGAGAAGTACGCCGGGAGTCACCCGCAGCTAAGGATGTAGAACTATCCTTGACAACCATTGAAAAATCTGTCGCGGCAAAAATTTACTTTGAAAATTATTTTTACGAAATCCTCAAGAAACCTTCGGGACGTGCCAAAAGGCGATTACAACTTGAAGCCGAACTTGAAAGCATGGTGGCATCAGACCAAGATAAGCGAGAAATCAGACAGGAATGGCTTAACCTTGAGTCAGACTATATGCGCCTCTTACGTAAAAAAATTACCATTAATGCTTTCCATATAATAAAAACTGTTGGCCACGGCGCTTTTGGCGTTGTCAAACTTGTCCGCGAAAAAAATACAGGCATATTGTATGCTATGAAGATAATGAGAAAGGCTGACATGCTGAAGAAGGGTCAAGAAGGTCACATACGTGCCGAACGAGATCTTTTGACAGCTGCAGCAGAGTCGGCTCAATGGATTGTCAAACTAATTTATTCCTTCCAAGACGCAGATCATCTATATCTTGTCATGGAGTATATGCCCGGCGGTGATTTGTTAAACTTACTTATTGAAAGAGATGTCTTTGCAGAAAATTTTGCCAAATTCTATGTGGCACAAATGGTACTTTGTATTGAGGAGGCACATCGAATGGGCTATATTCATCGGGATATTAAGGTACGTTAATCTCTGTGGATTTTTTTCCTTGTAAAACAGTACTAACATCATGTGAATACATAAATTACCTTTACACATATAGCCGGATAACTTTCTCTTCGACAAAGAAGGGCACATAAGGCTTTCGGATTTTGGTTTGGCCACCGATTTTCACTGGGTTCATGATTCTGCATATTATGATCAACAACGTCGAGATCTTTTGCGCAAGACGGGTGTTGACATTGAGACCGATACTCTCTCAAAAGAGATGAGTAGGAAATATCAATCATCCAAATGGATGGAACAATGGTCTGACGAGGAATCGGATGACGTTCCTAACGTCCGCGTTTTAAGCTGGAGAGATAAGCATCGTAAAAAGATGGCTTTCTCCGTTGTGGGCACCAACAACTATATGGCGCCAGAAATTTTAAGAGGAGCTGGTTACGATCATAGTTGCGATTGGTAAGCCATTGTTTGTGTTGCGTTTTCCTGATTTCATTGTCGACGCATCAGAATACTAAAGAAATTTTTCCCAAAATTTTCTAGGTGGAGTTTGGGAGTAAGCATTTATTTATTGAGTAAATGATAATCCTTAATTTTGATCTAAACAATAATCTTTAATTTTAGGTTATCATTTTCGAGATGTTATATGGTTTTCCACCATTTTGCAGTAAATCTCGTCATACTACTCGTATGAAGATTATTAATTGGCGCACGAGTCTAAAGTTTCCTTCTAGACCTCGTGTGTCACGTGAAGGTAAGACGCAAAAAAAATTTTTTAAAAAAAAAAATAATACCGGTAATGGTACATTAATGTCATTTGTTTTGTATTCAGTTCAAGACTTGATAGAACATCTTATTTGCGAAAAGGAAGATCGTCTTGGCTCTGGAGGATTGGCTTCCAATCGACCTAATAAGCTTTATATGGCTAACAGGAAAAATGCGTCATCGAATCTAGGGGATGCGTCCGGAATTAAGTCGCATCCATGGTTCAAAGATATAGATTGGGACAATCTACATAAGTCGACACCACCATTTGTGCCCCGATTAAAGGACGAGACAGATACAAGATATTTTGAAGAGGATATTGATGACAACCCATTGGCAGCACCTGATGGTGAAAGAAAGCCAAGAGATCCCATGTTAAGAGACAAACATCATGGGAAAGAAATCTTGAATATGCGGAAAACACT